TTGAGGCAATGTCTGTTTCCTAACAACAATATTTTTAATCTACAGGAGTTCAATAGATTTGTCTATCAAATGTGCCTGTTTTGAAAAATGTGTACTATGTTAGAGCTTGGTTTGTATTTCAGTGTGTTTGAGACTGTTCGTCCCGAGGGTACCGGGGAGAATCCCATGGAAAACCTCCACGCTATGGGCTAAGTACTAGGCTGTCAGAAACATATACTTATTTGTAAACTACTCCTGAAAAGTAACCCTGCTAGATGCTTGGGTTCAGAAAGAGAGAGAGACCCGGATTGGGTTGTATTATAGGTGATTAGGAAAGCTGCCACGCTCAGATGAACTAGTAGGAAAAGGCCCCGCCGTTTATTATTAATTTTATTCTCCCCCACATGAAAACTAGAGGAGGGGAAATACCTTCTCTCTCTTCGGTGTAATTGATCGCGTTCCCGTGCCTGCTTCTCATAAAATGCTCCATCTACGCTGTGACTGAACTTCTCCCCCCACTGTACGCGATCAATGGAAAATACAAGATACTGCGTGAGCCATTCCGAAAAGTCCCCAGGGAGAGCCAGTGGATGTACAGAAGCGCTGATGGCGTTTAAAAGCGCAGTTAAGCTACCGAGAAGAACCAGAGGCGGGGTTTGGATGAGGAAACCCATTTCTAAAGGGAAATGTCCATTACCGTTTCTCTGGGACTAGCAGTCGATTCTTTGCTTCAAAGAAACTTCAATAGACTACACAAAAGTTCTGCTTCAATAAATCCCTCTCGTGCTCCCACAGTGCATTCAACGTGCTTGGAAGGAACTGACAGCAAAAGATTTCAAAACCTCATTCACTAAATCCTTCAGGCCAGGGGGAAATACTAGATCAAGTAGCAGAAACTAGCTGACGGACTCTGGTCCTTGGTTTTAAAGCTATCTGAGGAATTGGCAACTGGGATAACTCCAGGTCCTTAATTTTAGAGCCGGATTTTTCACTTTCGGTTAAAAATAAAAACAATAAAAAATCTTTAACGTCAGACTAATCATTTAAAAATAGTTTATATTTCTTGTAAGGTTAAATAGTATATACTGACAGATCTGGGTATAATCCCAACCGAATCCTTACTAATATAACATTGTATGTACATCTGAAAGACTGAAGAAGAGAGACAAACAATGTCACATCCTTCCATTCAAGATGGATAACGCTATCTTTTAATATTTTCAAAGAAATCGAGGTTTTTTTCTCCCCTGTCAGATAGCATTTAAGGGAGAACCATTATGGACAGATATTTTTTCCTGGGGAGGAAGAAAAATTCTTCCACTCTGCGAATTTAAAACACAAAAAACCGAGTAAACGAAATGCGCAAACCAAGCCCAGGGAGGTGAGCTACGACTGCAAAACCTTTCTTCTCCTTTCTAAATATTTCCCCAGCAGTAGGCACAGCGTTGGCCTCTGAAACTTTATCCTCCAAGGTGTACAGGAAGTGTGCGAATGTTGAACGTTCGTCAAGAATTAACTTCTAATATTTTCGTGACTCCTTTCTTATGGCGCACCAGGAGTGCTCCTTCTGGATCTGATCAGCTTTCTCGGTAGTGCTGGTTTTTAGTCAACCTGATGGTTTCTTTTAAGATGTTATGCTTAAAACGTTGTGGCCACACGGTAAACTACGGCTCTGTGGACATTTCTCTCTGAGCTCCTGCTTCGCTCATTTCTTATGACCGTACTCTGACTTCTGTATTCTAATCTATTGTATCAAAAGTCACCCAACGCCACCTTTAAGGTATAATGTGTAAAGTCACATTTACAAAAGAATCGGACAACTTTTAAACAAGAGGAAAGGGTTGTATTTATATACAGACTTTCCGAACCCATTTCGCCTTTTATCTCTCCCTTCTAATAAGTTGGGTAACGATCGTCCAGTTATTTGCTAAAATATACCTCGCGGTATGTTTGAACTAACCTGTTCGAGCTTGTTTTTATAAAATAAACAAAAATAAATAAGTGATTATTTGCAAGCTGCGTTAGATAGTTTTGCTGAGAATAAAGCGAGCGTGTGTAACATTTTGCTGGCTACTTGTGTATTTACAGTTATAACGCGTTTCTTTAAAACAAACTCAGAGCTAACATATGCTGCAAGCACGATAAATAATCCATTTATTATTTCCTGATATTTGAAGCCTATTTTGCTCACAAATAAATATATTTATATACGTGAGCTTTCAAACAGATACACAGAACATAGTCGGAGGGATTTTCTCCTCATGTCTGTTGAATGCAGTAAAAATTAAGGCTGGGAAGATCTCACAAAACATTTATTCGCTACAGATTTTCTGTAGGCCTGACAAATATGAAATTTCAGTCTGCACTGAAAATGGTTTGAACCAAAAAGAAAACAAAAGTGGCGTAAGTTTCTTGAACTAGAATGAAAATAAAATAGTTTGGTAGGTTCCATGTAGAGCACCGTTACAGAAATACCCACGTTGCTTTAAAGGTTGCTTTCCATTTACCCACCTAATTATTTTAGTAAGGATAGAATAGCTGTGGCCCGGAGGAAAGGGCAAGATTCCCATGTACTTCAATGGGGAGAAAGTTCGTGCCATAATGTTTGCCAGCTATATTTCCTTATTGTGTGGTGACAATGCAAACAGGTAGGAGGCATTCGATTTCCCCTGGAGCCCCCATAGAAATGCTTTGGAGCGTCAGGAACAATGAAGAAAACGGGTTTGAAAATCTGAGATTTGGGGCTGGTTCAGGGAGGGGGGTAAGACGTAACCTCCCTCCCCCCCTTTGCTAGAACTCAGGTGCATTCATCTCGGGAATACCACCTGGCCTGTCACTGTCGCTATGCCTCGAAGGGATGAGAAAGCTGCTCTCTCTTTATTGTCAGCCAGCGTTTATTTCTTGCTATTGTTGTGGAATGACTGAAAGCCTCCCCAGCTCTGTTAGGCTTTCCCTTTGCTTTTGTGGGGCAAGACAAGGACAATCTCGTTCTGTTTGCTAAGACTTTCGCCTTGAGACGGGACAAGGGGTTTGATCCCTTACGCCCCATCTCCGCCATTTGTGTACGGGGGAGCGGATTTCAGGGTTCCTCAAGGAGCCGCCAGCCCCAGGGTTCCAGCGCAGCGATGAGGCTTCCTGCCCAGTGAAGGGCAGGATTTGGGGGCCCATCCCTCTTTTTAAAGAGAGCTGTGGGAGATGAATCGAGAGGGCGGACTGGAGCCATTTGATCACAGCCCAGAACCTGCCAGGAGATGGACAAGCAGAGAAGGGCGATCCACGCGCCTCCTGCCACGGAAAGGAAAGCACCCCGCCAGCCCCCAGCCAGACATTCACAGCGCCTCCATTGGACTAAGGACGAGCAGGTAGCACGCAGCCATTCTAGACATCCGCCTACCCACTCCACTGGGGCTACGTCTAAACTACACCCCTCTGCCGACAGAGCGGTGTAGTTTAGACACCCCCACGCTCCTCCCAGGTCAGAGCCTCCGTGCCACATAGAGAGTGCGCGGTCCCGTTTCCTCGGGCTTGTTGACCGCTGACTTTAACGAGATCAGAGGAAGGTCTCTCTAATCCCAGCGATTCTTAGGTCACAAACCCTTCTAGCCTTTCCTAGCTGTGAAAGAGCCAGCCCTTGAACAAAACTTCAATGGCCTGCGAGGGGTTAGGAGTTGGTCCAGGTTCTGAGAAGCATCAGAGTAACCTGGTTGGCTATTCACACCCATCGGTGAAGAGGATGCAAAGTATCGCTAAAACGCACACATTTACAGTTTAGACACAAAGCAAAAACCCAAGCCATCCACACTCCCTGCCTAGTGCTTTAGAGCAGTGTTTCTCAACCAGTGGTACGACTAGGAGTACCCTCAGGGGTACTCAAGAGAAGTCTGGGGGGTACATCAACACAACTGAAATTTGGAGAAAACTGAATTTTTGTTTTAAGTTTTACAGCACTTTATTTCATCACCTGTCTGGCTATGATTAAGTTGTTTAAACAAATGTGTTGCAATAGTAGAAAAAAGTGTGTGTCTGAAAACTGTAGGTACTGAGGGTACCTATACTTTTTTTAAAAGGGCACTGTAGGTACTGAGGGTACCTATACTTTTTTAAAAAGGGCACTTTATTTAAAAAAAGGCTGAGAAACACTGCTTTAGAGCATCCGTTTTTCCAGGGATACTCACAAACATGATTGGCAGGAAATGCAATTTGCTCGTTCAGGCTGGTCAAGCTGTGCATAAGCACTTCATATACATCATGTAATATAGCTTCGTGTACACAGGACTGATCGTTCACTCAGGAATTATTTTTAAAAAATCTACGAATTTAATTAGTCCGATTTTCATTTACACCTCTGGAAAATTAATCCGAATCTTTTAAATCGGATTCGTCTACTTAAATTGTGAACGTATTAGTTGTCTTTAATACGCTGGAGGGATGAATGCACAGTATCAGCCTTCAAATCCCCCTCTGGCAAATTGTAACCACCCAGTTCGACCTGTTCCTGGCAACAAACTAGACAGGGTTACAAACCATAGCAAACATTTTATTTACAGGGTGTTTTGGTTTCAGTGCAGTCTCTCTTGGCCGGATTACACAAAGCAACACATGGCAATGGCTGAGGAGTGCGCTGGTAAAATATTTCACATTGTAACTGGTTGGATGGCGAGGTTGAAAGGTGGCGGTAGAGACGGGCAGGGGGGCGGGACGAGGGGACAGAGCAGCCTTGCAGGCCCCCGCTTGGCTTAGCCGGGGCAGCTGGTCCCGCAGAGCCGGGCAGGGCCGCGAGCCGACCCGCACAGGAGCAGGTTCCAGGTCCCGCAGCGAGGCGCGGGCTGCCCGAGTTTGCTACCTCGCCTCTCGTATGTACAAACAAGGCCTGGGCGCTTCGGGATCGCCCCATGCCGCCGGGCGGCTCCCCTCCCTGCGCACCCCGGAGATCTTCGGCACGGCGGGCCCGCAGGCTGCGGCGCCCCGGGCGCATAAATTAGCAATGGTCCTGTCCAGAGAGTCTCTGGGCTCTGCCACGCCGGGCGCTCCGGCTCCCTCTCTAAAGGCGGGCTGGGGCTCTGCTCCCGCTCGCCCTCGGCCGCGGCTAGCGCGCTGGCCTTCTCGGCAGGTTCCTTCTCCTTCTCCTTCTGGGCCTGCGCTTCCTTGGAGTGTCTCCATTTCATGCGTCTGTTCTGGAACCAGACCTTCACCTAAGCGCCGCCGAGACACAACAGAGACCCGCCCAGATCAGTGAAGGCTGAGACACGCAAACCTCCGCTTCTCTTTCCCCCTCTCCCCGCCCCCCAAGCCTCGCTGGCCTGCGGGGACATTCGCCCTCTTCAGAGCTCCCAGCCGGGCCACACTCGCGCCAGCTCCATTTCATGCGTCTGTTCTGGAACCAGACCTTCACCTAAGCGCCGCCGAGACACAACAGAGACCCGCCCAGATCAGTGAAGGCTGAGACACGCAAACCTCCGCTTCTCTTTCCCCCTCTCCCCGCCCCCCAAGCCTCGCTGGCCTGCGGGGACATTCGCCCTCTTCAGAGCTCCCAGCCGGGCCACACTCGCGCCAGCGATGGCTGGGGTCAGTTAAAACAATGCCCTGAACTGTGTCTGAATCGGTTCTGAACGCTCCAGGCCGGCCACTGGCCACCAAAGGCCTGAGCAGCCGCCTCTCAGTTTATTCCGCCTCATTCGAAAGGCCTCTCCCCAAAGATGAATTTATCTGTAAATACACGGCTGTGCCTACATCTACACTAGCTCTATCCGTCGTGTATAGAGCTGATCTAACACAGAACGCATATACTGAATCCCAGGCGTTCGTGTGAATTCTCCGCCCGAGCCTCTGATTACAAAATGCGTTGGGAAAGGGATTCTAGACAGCCAGATGTCCGGGCAAGGCTATTCGTTTCCACTTGGATTTATAAATTGCGAAAGAGTCTGGAGCGAGCCCTGTCACATCCCTAACAGCATTTAGCCAGTGCCCAGAGGAGCTAGACAGAGCTGGGATACAACGAGGCAGCCCAAGCTGCCCTCATTCTCCTCCGGCCGAAAAATAGCTTAGCTTTGTCTGGTTTGTGTTTGTTGGGGGTGTTTAAATACAAGAGAGTGGGTTTTTTTCCTTCTTCTTTTTCGTCCAGGAAACCAAATCTTGCTCAACAGACCGCAACCTTGTACAGTTTTAGACACTGAGGGTCATCAATAGTGGAATCAAACTTAGTGGCGTTTAATGATTCCGTTCGAAAAGAAGTTTTCACTTCCTCAGAACGAGGGATTTCATAATCCAAAAAGAGAGAATTACAAACAAAATCTTGTCCTCTATTTCCCTTGAGAAAAACTGCCTCCTACAGTGAATTGCACTTCAAGAAAGTTCATAATTATCGTCTCCCACGGCCTATTCGCTGACTTGCCCCTACTTTTTTGCATTTGCCAAAACAAACGCACAGGGCATATTGACATAAATCTCTGGGATCTAGAGATTTTCTGTGCTAGAAGATGCAGATACATGAATTTGCAGCTTCACTGTAAAATGGATTTAATAGCGGCACATATTAATATGCTGCTTGCCCGTATTTTAAAATGACTCCATAACGCTACAGAAAGAGGTAAGGGGGGATAAGACACATTGATCTATATTTGCTCTATCGGATTTAAGAGAGGAGGGGAGAGGAAAACGCAAAACCCCCAAAAAGAGGCTCTTACTTGGGCATCAGTCAGTCCCAGCATCGCTGCAAGTTGTTTTCTGTCCGGTTTCGTGACATATTTCTGAATTTCAAATCTTTTCTCTAACCCTTTCCTCTGTAGATTGGAAAAAACCGCTCTGGACCAAGAACGTTTTCTTTTGTATGTTTGAGGCAACGTGTCCTTCGTTAAAACCGCATAAGGACCTGTTGATTTGAAAAGAGGGAGAAGAGAGACAAAGCGTGTCATTTGCAGTGTGTACGAAGAGAAGCTGTAAATAAGGTACAAATAATCGAGAGAGGGGTGCCTGAGAGAAAAGCCCAATGGAGGCCAACTAAATGCCACCTAGTATCACAACTTCATATTTTCTTATTAATTTATTGCATCTTTTTAAAAGTCTTTCCCTCCCAGCGATTACTTTCACTAGCTAGCGCTAGCTTTTGTGATCACTTTGTTAGACGCATTGTCCTCCCCACATGCAGCCCACCTCCAAGATTTTCGTTGTAGAGATGTCACAGTGTGATCCTCCCTAAAAAAAGAAACTTCAGCTTTCAAGCATCCGCCAAATCTCTTTTGGGTTAGCGCTCCTATGGCTCTATATAGACGCACTGAGGCAGGCCCTGCTGGTAACTGATTTGTGCCAGGGATGGATTTAAGAGGGAGGATTTGTACCTGGAAAAGTGTCTTGAAACTGGTGCTGAACTGAATTCCTTGAGTTTGTGTTTAAGGGACCGAGAATAGTAGAGGCCTCGTTAATGGGATCTAGAGACGCGAAGAACTGGCCGGCTGAAGGCTGCAAGGTGGGGAGATGAACCCCAGTTTGGCGGCTTGTAGTTAATAAGGAGGTCAGATCTGTGAGCACAGGAACAAGGAGAGCTCTGTTATATTGCAATATAAATCCACACACCTCGAAGCTTCTAATGAATTGATCTGATTCACCTACAGCTTCTAATGAACTGAACTGATTCACCTACAGTGTGTGTGGGGGAGTCGGGGCGGGGGCGCAGTCGCTTTTCTACCGTCAGACACAATGAAGAGTGTGGGCGGTGGGGAAATCACACTTTCGAAGTGACAGAACAGGAATGCATAAGCCAGGGAACTTGATACAGTTGTTTCCCTCTGGAGGTGCAGTATTTTCCCCTAGAACCGGAGTTCCTTTAATAATAAAAACGGTTGTCAGCGTGTTTACACGCTGCGTAAGGAGACTGAGTGCAGCAAAAGCCTTCCAAAATGTGATTGCCATCTGCGTACAATCTTTAGAGAGCGGTGAGCGATTTTTTAAAAAGCAGTGTATTCTCAGCGAGAAGCTTTCACAGCACACGGGACTGCCGATTGGCGTGAAAGGACACTGCCGAAAAACAAACACACTCCCTCGATAGTCGCGGTGGTTTTTGTTAAGATTAAGACTAGCTACAAACTGACAGCAAGAAAAGCTCAGATCTCTACCTCTCAGCGTGTTGCTTTCCTTGACTTTGGGATCAAACTCCGCGGACAAAATCCGATCAATCCCAAATTTCAGGTCTTTGCTGGAAGGAGCCGGAGCCGAGGAGTTGTGCGTTTGAACACACTCCCTCGATAGTCGCGGTGGTTTTTGTTAAGATTAAGACTAGCTACAAACTGACAGCAAGAAAAGCTCAGATCTCTACCTCTCAGCGTGTTGCTTTCCTTGACTTTGGGATCAAACTCCGCGGACAAAATCCGATCAATCCCAAATTTCAGGTCTTTGCTGGAAGGAGCCGGAGCCGAGGAGTTGTGCGTTTGGTTCCCTTGCAGCCGGCCCGGGGTCGGGGCGCCGCTGCTACTGGCCGCTCCGGGCGATCGGTGCGGGGGGGGGGGGGGAGGGCGGGGGGGCGAGG